AATGCAGTTACTCTTGCATTACTGAATGCAAACAAAATAATAATAATAAAATGCACATTGTTTCTTTTATGAAGAAGTGTATATTTATAATTTAATGCAAAAGGTGGAATTTCACTTTAATCAGCACAAAACAAAAACCATATGGGCTAAGGACTGTAACATCATCCTGCACGGAGAGGGCTGTTCACGCATGTTAGCAGAAAGTGGTGGTGCCGAATTCCCGTGATGGACTACAATCTCACGTTTAGTTTACTGATTTGTATTGAGATTGTAGTCCATCACGGGAGCGAGCTTGGAGCGGTGGCTACTATACAACACACACAGGGACCATGGGGAACAAAAGTAGCCACCGTCCAGAAGGAAGGACAGTGTCAGCACCAATTCAGAGATGATTTGAGGATCTACAGCCGAGTGACACACAAATAAGATACATTTATGTTAATAGTTAAGGTACTTGAATGTATTTTTTAAGATTCACTTTAATTTGAGGGATCAATTTTAACAGACACACTGAATATTTAGTAATGGCTTAGAAAATAGTACAAAACAAACTACGGTCTTTCATTCAGTTTAAACAGCTGTGACCATTGGGTATGCTACATAGGTCCAAAAAAAATTAATTATAGTACATAGGTTGTATGTAGCATGCCTGTCCTTCTCCCCTGCTGCTGCTTTATAAGCACCCTCAGAAGCAAGGTAGAGAGATACCAAGTAACAGTAGTGTTCCATTCATTACTGTATTTGCTTTGGCATGATGTCAGTTAAAGCCTTGGTTCTCAACTGGTGGGTCGTGACCCAAAAGTGGGTCACAACCCCGTATTCAGTGGGTCCCCGCAAGCCTTCCAGTTTTCTAGGTGAGCCATTCAAAATATGCTGCCCGGCTTCGAGTGGCAGCTTGAGGTGGGATGGGAAGAGGCTATGGCTGTGAGAGAGCTCCATCCATATGTGCATTGCTTACAGCTCCCTCATGTGTCCTATAGAGGTGCCATGGTGATATCACATTCTGGCTCCCGGCACCTCTACAGGGCACGCAAGGGAGCTGTACCGGCAATGCACATATGGATGGAGCTCCTTTACAGCACAGCAGCCCGCACTGGACCCCAGGCTGAGGATCCACTCCAGTTCAGGTAGGGAGAGTGGGTGGACCTTAAAAAAATAAAATAAATGAAAACATTTTTGGAGTGTGTATGTGTGTGAGAATGCGTCTGTGGTTGTGTGTGTCTGTCAGTGTTTTTGAGGACCCATTCACACTAGTACAGTCCATTAATTGCATAGTACCATTCGATTAATGCTCTGTACCACGCAATCGCACCTACTGGGCATTCTGACGTGGGAGGTGTGTTGTGTTGCCATTCGTTTGAATGGTACCCCAAAAGCACCTCCCACCCACAGTTCATACGCCCCCGCACCGGAACGGGTGGTACCCTAATGCCAAGCGTTCTATTGCAGTGCAACTTGGGTCGCAACTTAATGACCAAGGACAAATGTGGGTCCTGAGGTCACACAGGTTGAGAAACACGGAGTTAAAGCAACCTCACAAATTAAGAAGAAAAAAAAAGTACTTCCTAAAAAAAGATTTACTGTATGTAATACTTTGTTATCTTTAGTAATGACAAAATGATGGCCACATAAACATTGCCATCGCAGAAATTTAAAAATTGCTGCGGTCCTTAGGGGTTGTACAGGTGTGAGAGTAGAAGTGGTAAAAGCTGAACTCCAGGCTAACAGCGAAATACATATATGAGATCTACAGTATTTAATCTGCCAAAAGGATTTGTATTTCTGTCCATCCAGTCCAGAGGTTTAGAAGGCTCTGCCCCACAGCACAGCCCTGTTGCAGTTTTTCATTTACTTGCATGTCTCCTGCTTACCCCTCAGCCTGTGGTTGGACAGTAGAAGGAGATGTAGAAGACTTAGGCCTTGTTCACACCAAATGCAGACCAGATCCGGTCAGGTTTCTGCACACGCAGTGTAGTGGGTTGTGCCGCGTTTTAGACGCGTTTTGGATGCGTTTTTGATGCGTTTAGGGCCGTTTTTTTAAGTTTAACATGGACTTTCAGGCACTTGCATGCGTTTTTGATGCGTTTTTGCGTTTTAGATGCGTTTTTGATGCTCTGGATCTGGTCTGGAACGCATCAAAAACGCATCTAAAACGCAAAAACGCATCAAAAACACATGCAGGTGCCTGAAAGTCCATGTTAAACTTTAAAAAAAAAATTGTTTTTTTTTTTAACCAAAAAAGCCCCTAAACACATCAGAAACGCATCCAAAACGCGTCTAAAACACGTCTAAAATGCGGCACAACCCACTACACTGCGTGTGCAGAAACCTGACCGGATCTGGTCTGCATTTGGTGTGAACAAGGCCTTACAAGCTCATCTCTCTGTCAGTCTGCACTCTCCTATCAGCATGCTCCTTGTACTAAAACACTCCTAACTGGCTCCTTGTGCTGCTTCTTCCTCCCGCTATCAGAGCTGTGCTGTACAGTGACTTCAAGAGCTACATATCAAGTCAAATTCAGATATTTACAGAGATTACATTCCAAAAATAAAGCACATTTAAGGATGTAATAATAATTGTAGAGCTGTATTCATGCTTGTCTTTTATATCTGTATGGAGTCCAGCTTTATTGTATCTGACAGCTTTGGAACCCTAAATACAAAGGTGATAACAATACATGTCCAGAGTTTAATGGGTTCTTGGAATGAACTAACCCAAACTAGGAGAGATTTTCAAATTAATCACTGATAAGAAACACAGATTTATCAGCAGAAGCAGCTTGGATATGATGCAACACGCAAATGTTTTTAGCGGAAGTCCCATATTCTGAAGATTATCCTGGACAGTTTAAATTATGGAAATTTCCCTACTTAACCACTTGATGACCGCAGTGTTACACCCCCTTCCTGTCCAGGCCATATTTCAGTATTCAGCGCTGCGGTACTTTGACTGACTTTAATCCCGTCATACAACGCTGTACTGAAATGAATTTTATACCAGAGCTTTCATTTGGTGGTATTTAATCACCACTGGGGGTTTTATTTTTTACTATGTAATGAAAAAAGTACAGAGAATTAAAAAAAATAAAACTGTTTTCCTTTTATTATGTTATGAAACATTATTAGGGTAAAATTATAAAAGATAGTAAATAGACGACAAGCACGTCAAGCCTTAAAATTGTGCACGCCCTCGAAATCGCAAACAAAGACCACAGTCAAAATTGGCCATAGGCTAAAAGCTTTTACCGCCGATCAGTTTAGTGTTAACAATGATTGCTGGCCCTAGAATGATTGTTCACACTCTGACGTTTACCGTGATATCTAACATGTGCGGCGTAATGGGCACAATCGTCTTGTAGGCACACCTGACGCATCTTTGCGTGTGTATGTGGGTGCGGGAGACTTTAAAAAAAATGTTGTGGGGTTTTTTTGTGTGACTTTAATTTTTTTTTTTTTACACTTAACTTCATTGCTATCACATAGTGGGCTAAGAAAGCCCCTGTGTGATATCAAATGACAGTGACAGGTCCTCTTTATGGAGACATCAGGGGTCTCTAAGACCCCTAATGTCACCTAGGGACCCCCAACGAAGCTGATGAAGCAGAGATCTGCTTCACCAGCTTCTCTCTGGCTTCTGTAGCCAGAGAATGACAGCTGAATGCGGAAGTGATGTAATAAACATCACTCCCTGCATTCACAGAACAGGGAGGGGATTGGAGGGAGATTGTGTACTGATCTCCCTCTATTCTCCCTGCACAGAGCCACAATGCTGGTCCCGGGCCTACAGGGAGCTTGGGATTGCGGCAGTGGAAACAACGGTGGTGGAGGGGGAGGGACACTGGTGGTGCACGAAGGTACGACATAGAAGCGATCGGGCGTCTCTACAGACGCCGGACTGCTTGTATGTAAACAGCCATCACTGGCTGTTTCAAATGTTGTGTGGGTATGGGCACAAAGGACGTTTTAAGACGCCCACCGGCATCTACAAGACTCCCATCTGGCCGTTTTGCTAGGTTCGGCAGAGGTGGTTCAACTAAAGCTTGGCCCAGTGGGAGATTCCTCCATACACACAGTTTAGCGTAGATGGAGGAATCTGTTGCACTTTTTCCATCTGACAATAGAACATCTGCAGATCATCTATAGGTGTATGGCCAGCTTTACACTGATCAAAGTAGAATGCAATGCACTTTTTGATTTAGAAAATAAAATAAGTTATGCAAGACTATATCACCAGAAGAAAGTCTACTTTGTTCCAAAAACTACAAAGTTACTAAATAATCAGGCCCATTATAAAAATGTAAAAATTGCCCTGGTCTTTAAGGCATATGCAGGTGCCAGAGATGTAATGGCCTGGAGCCTGCTAACATCTGCAAACTGGAGCTGAAGTGCTTTAAAAGCTTCAACAAATCTGCCCAAAGCTTGCTGCACACAGTGTTCTTATACAGAGTTTACAGGGAACGGGGCCTTGCAGTGCCTTCTAAGCCAGTTTGTCCCCAGATTAGCAGCACTCTAGTCCACAAGTGTTCACGTGTAGTGCAATGGGGCAGGCAGGGTGGGCAGACAGTCCCTTCAGCGGTGAACACTTTGTTCTCTGAGATCACATTCTTGGGAAATTTGTGCTTCCCTTATAGCAGGGGTGGGGAACTCTAGCCCTCCAGCTGTGCTCTGACTACAAATCCCAACATGACTCTGTCTCTGGGAGTCATGTCTATAACTGTCAGTCTGCAATGCCTCATGGGACTTGTAGTTCTGCAACAGCTGGAGGTCCAGACTTGCCCACCCCTGCCTTATAGATATTGGATCATTGGACGATCTATCAAAAAGGGATCAGAAGACTTATGTCTATGGGCACCCATAGTCACTCATCAATTTCCTACCTTCATGTGAAGGTGGAATTTAATTTGCTGCTCTTTGGCTATAGTTTTCTTAATTTGCTGTTTTCTCTTTGTTTTAGTGTTATACTGCTATAATTACATTGTTTTTTCTATTCTCTTTTCTCAGATGAGTTGAGTGATTTAATTGATAATGGTAAGTGCTAAATATTTGCAAAACAATCTACTGTTAAAGAAAACTTGCAAAATGAACACAAAATCCAATATGCCTCACATACTGGAGAGCTGACTGGAGAGCTCTAGCTATGACTTAATAGGGGCCGTGTCTGACCTCTGCAGAGAGACCAAAAGAAATCAAGTGTCCTTCTCTGTAGCATGATTTGGGCCGATTTAGACTGGAAGTTCAATTGAGCTATAACAAATCCTAAAAGTAATATGTAAACCAGGCCACCACAACATCTCTTCAATATTAACACCTACCATGCACAATAAGGCCTTATGGAGTATGATAAAATGGTTACCATGAAAGGCTCTTGTAGTTGATGATGGAAGTGTCAGGCATTGTTATGTGGTGTTTCATTTCTGGAGCCCAACACCAGCACACAGACATGAAGGCTAAATGACATTTCATAAGTGGTTGTGTCTCTACACTGCTCTGTTAGAGGAACCAAGGACTTTTATAGAGGAGCTCTAAAGCTTGACACATCTAAAAAGTAAAATCCCAAGCAACTTTTAGCTTTTTTCTCTCAGGTGAAAGTCATCATGTCATACAAACAAGGAAAGAGTAGGAAGGCACGAAAGAAGAAGATACTTCCAGTATGTAATGGAGTTGGGCGTTTATAAGTGGTCTTAGGCCTGGTATCTAAAATTTAGGTAAATTCCAACCATCCTTTAGTTTTTTGCTTTCAGGTGAAATCTTATGCCTCACCATGACCTGAAAACAGGGAAAGAGTAGGAAGACAAGAAGGCCCAGCCATACATGTACCACACAATGATGATACTTCCAGGGTATAATAGAGCTGGACCTTTTGAGTGGACCTAGGCCTGGCATCTAAAATTTAGGTCAATTCCAACCATCCTTTAGTTTTGTGCTGTCAGGTGAATTCATCTACCCCACCATGACATGCAAACAGGGAAAGGGTAGGAAGGCAAAAAAGCCCAGCCATACATGTACAACACAATGATGTTACTTCCACGGTATAATGGAGCTGGGCTTTTATGAGGGGACCAAGGCCTGGCCTCTAAAATGTTGGTACATTTCCACCACCCTTTAGTTTTGTGCTGTCAGGTGAAATAATCTGCCTCACCATGACATGCAAACAGGGAAAGAGTAGGAAGGAAAGAAGGCCCAGCCATACATGTACCACATAATGATGATACTTCCAGGTTATAATGGATATGGGCTTTTGTGAGGGGAACTATGCCTGGCTGTGCACGGTTTTATAGGCTGGGCATGACTGTGCATGGTTTTATAGGCTAGGCCTGGCTTTGGATGGTTTTATGGGCTAGACCCAACTATGCATACTTTTATGGGCTAGGCCTGACTGTGCATGTTTTTATGGGCTAGGCCTGGCTGTGCATGGCTTTATGGGCTAGGCCTGGCTGTGCATAGTTTTATGGGCTAGGCCTGGCTGTGCATGGTTTTATGGGCTAGGCCTGGCTGTGCACGGTTTTGTAGGCTGGGCCTGGCTGTCCACGGTTTTATAGGCTAGGCCTGGCTGTGCATGGTTTTATGGGCTAGACCCGACTATGCATACTTTTATGGGTTAGGCCTGACTGTGCATGTTTTTATGGGCTAGGCCTGACTGTGCATGTTTTTATGGGCTAGGCCTGGCTGTGCATGGTTTTATGGGCTAGGCCTGGCTGTGCATGGTTAATGGGCTAGACCCGACTATGCATACTTTATGGGTTAGGCCTGACTGTGCATGGTTTTATGGGATAGGCCTGGCTGTGCATGGTTTTATGGGCTAGGCCTGGCTGTGCATGGTTTTACAAACCATGTGAAATGTGCAGTAATCCAGAGCAACAAATCAGAAAACATATTGCAATGATCTGACAGAATATTGAGATATAATTTCTGTGGGCTACAGTGCCCTTAGAAGATTGTAACTTTGGTTGGATGCAGAGAAAAACAATTTAGCCATTTTTGTTGTTTTTTAGAGTCCCAAGTCCAGCCAAGACATGTTTGGTTGTTTTGGATAGAGTGGGGAAGGTTTACCCCAATGTCAGCTTTAATTGTGTTTTTTTGTGTCCTGATCTGCGAGATGAGTATCAGACAGAACAGGAAGTACAGTAAGGGGAAATCCTTCTACAGGGACTAAAATTTTACTGCAGTCTGTGTCACCATGAGGGAGATGTCTCCCCATTTCCTGTTCAGGTAACGAACAAGGAGCATGCCGATAGAAGGAGAAAGCAAATCTGACATGAGCTCATCAGGCTGCTGTACAGTCTCGTTTCAATGTCCATTCACAGGCTATGGGTGGGTCCATGAAAGCCAGGGCAGACAAAGTGGGTTTAAGGAAGCTGGCTGTTATTCAACCTGGAAAACTAAGGACCTCTAGTGGCCAAGTAGAAGTACTGCAGGGCACAGTTCCAAACTGAAGCTTAGTATTGCCGAAAAAACTGCAATTTTTTTTACTGGAGTTCTGCTTTAAACAAATAATTTGCAGATCTGAAGTAGGAATCTGTCAGACATGGATGAGTGCGTTGTATTAAAAGACCATTACTCAAATCTGATAACCATTTTCTGTACGGCCATCTTTAGTAACCACCTTTCACACCTCACTGTTGCTCTTTCAGCTTGTTCACTGAAACCTTGTTCGGTTCGGCAACATGGTAAATGACGACCTTATGTATCAACATGCACTTACTAATACCCAGAGTTATTTCCCCATGGCCACCAATCTGAGTCAAACTTTCAGTTCCAGTCCCATGCTGACTCGTAGCTTAAGAGAAGTGAGATCAGGTTAATTCAAAGGGCCTTATGGGTTAATGGTCCCTTCTTATAGATCTGGGCAGTTGTATACAGATACCACCAAGGAAAACTATTTGCATATAGCATGTAAGGTGTTGCGTCGTCATAAGTGAATGTGTTTTATGGGCGTTACATTGTTATGACAGAGTAATCCTTATTTATAATCCAAATATGCAGTATATGTCACAGAAATCTGGCACACCCATAAGGCAACGTGCCTCATCGTTATATTATTATACAGGATTTATATAGCGCCAACAGTTTGCACAGCGCTTAACAATATAAGGAAGACATTACAATCACAATACAATTCAAGACAAGATGGTAAGGAGGGCCATCATCATTATATGTTACACTCACCTTAGACTAGATGGGTAGGGGACCTGCAGTCATCCATAATGCAAGTGGGAGAAGACCTAGCACTATGAATTAGAACACAGGCTATGGAAGTGGATTGGTAAACAGTTAAATACACACATAAAACACAAGTATGGGATCTTTTATATATTTACACAGTTCTGCCATATAGCAGAGCCAAGCTGGCACCAATTTTAGTGTCTCCATCCCCAGCCTGCTGACTGGACAGCACTGGAGCAGCAGAGGACTGATGAAATCATCCCTCTTACTCATTCTGCTTTCTCCTCCAATCAACGTTATCCTTATTATCCCTTTTATATGCAACACACCTGATTGGCTTCCAGTTCTGCCCCTCGCTCACCCAGTCTGGGTGCTGCTGTACAGGGGATTGAAATGACGTTGATACTGACTCAAGCTTAGGTACTTAAACTAGTTAAATGTTAATAAAAATACATTTAGCGGCTTTTTATAATTTATGTTCAATCAAAACTTTTTCGGATAGAATGGAGAAGGGTTAGAACCCCTCAATTTTACTGATGTCCCTGACTCCATTAGTCAGATTTCCTCTCGCTTCCTGTCCCACTGACAAAGGTTTTACCATACAAGGAGTGAGGGGAAACATGCAAAAGTGATGCAGACAGGAAGACCAATCTTAAAGGGCAGAGACGTTCCTGTAATGAGGCAGCTTGAAGAGGTCAAGTACTTGAGGAGTTCCTCTCCTCGGGTCATGTGCCCCTTTTCTGGCCAAAGCGTCCAAGGTTGCTAAGAGCTTTCACCAACCTGTGACGCTCTGTTTGGAGCCTCGCCCAGCTCCTGGCAACCAGTGACATCAGTGAGATGGAATGAGATCTCTGGAAACATTTCCTGTTGTGTATAAGTAGAGGAAAGTTTCCCCAATGGGATAATCTTTGTGTTTGGAGCGCGCTCAGTTGCCTGCTCCCAGTCACTATATAATCAGGAGCTAGTGGGATGGGCTTTCGATCATGTGATCACTGTGACAGCCAACCACAGTGATCACATGATAAGGAGCCTGCCCAACAGCCTCCGGCATTAGGAACCCCTGAAAGGATCGGCTCCCGGTGGCAGAAAGGGGTTAATACAGTGGTGTAACTATAGCCATAGCAGCCCAGGTGGCTGCTATGGGGCCTGGGGGCTAAAGGGGGCCCCATTAGGGTGTTGAGGCAAATTAGGAACATGTGAATATAATGCAGTACAGTATGATTAAGGGTTGGAGTGGTTGCAGTTGATGACAACTCTAATCCCCTGTAAAGTCTACAGTGTAGAGACAACTTCAGATACACAAGAGGAGTCTTTGGGATCTTGGCATTGTTACTCACAGCTCAGAGAGAGGCCATCAGGGGGCCCCATCACATTTTTGCTATGGGGCCCTGGGTTAATACAAAAAGTAAATATATCATTGCTTTCTTTAGAACAACAGATGAACATACGAAGGAGAAACAAGTGAAATAATTTACATACTCAATATATATATATATATATATAGTAAATATTGATTGATGTTATTCTATAATTTTTAGTATTCGCTAACAACCTATGCTTTTTTTCCTGTTTCTTTCACAGTACGCACAGAGGAGCCCATTTTTGGTAAGCATCGCCCATTTATATTCTTTTGTTTAGGAAAGTATTTTTTTATTTCTCAATAAGAAAAAAAGGTTTTGCTACCTACAGGATCCTCCAAGATGAAGGCTTGTCTTTGATGCTAGGTGAAGTAGGAAGCTATAGTCTTTTAAAAGCCGAACTCCAGACGCAAACATTTTAATGGCCCATTGTCTCCATGTGACAGCACTCAATCATGGTGACCCAATCCAGAAATAGCCACACTCCATTCACCAAAAGTAAAAAATCTTTATTTATAGAGCATATGCATACTGTTGCTCCTCCCTTTGTGGGCTCAGTGCTCAGCCTCTAATGTATTTCACCATTCCGGCTTAGAGGAGATAGTCACCCGCACACCAAGGTCTAATGCATCAATACGTACGTTTATGGACGACAGATACACATGACATCACAAGTATGGGCAACATTTCGGAACCTTCATCAGGCAAATAACATAGTGACAACTCTGTTATTAGTCTGATGAAGGGACCTTGATAGGTTCCAAAACGTTGCCCATACTTGTAATGCCATTTGTATCTGTTGTCAATAAAAGGTATTGATGCATTGGACCTTTGTGTGCGGGTGACTATCTCCTCTACATTTCAATTGTGTGGCCCTAACTGCAAGTCATTCCAGCACCCTTCTATATACTAGTGGGATTCCAGTCTGGTGTGCAATGGGATACCTGTTTATTGTTACCATTCCAGCATAATCATTCTCTATATTTATTTTCGGTGAAGACCTTTTGGAGTGCAGCTAATTTTGGATTGGGTTTCTGTAACAGTATGTTTCATGTTTGCCTGCACCTGGGATGCAATCGCAGGGCAAGCCAGACCTGGAATGTGAGTGGTGTTTGCTGTGGATTGACTCAAGGATAGTGATTGCCAGTTCAGGCACCAAACACTAGTGTAAGAAATTCGGGGGTAGCATGTTCCCCTTATCTAGAATTATTGAGGATTTTTATAAGCTACAGAAGCACAGAAACACATGGACAGACAGTAGGTATAAACTCTGTGCAGTGCTTGCTGTAAAGTGAACCTGTTACTTTGCCTAGTTAAAGTGTATGTAAACCCCAAAACCTAAAAATGTAATATATTGCAGCTTAACAATCCTTAGATGTGGTGTCTGCATTAGATTTCTCTTTTGGGCTTTTTCCCCACTGTTTTCATCTGTTGATCAGGCCAGTAAGTCTATTATTTCTCAACTTCCTTTACCAGACCAAGCTGTCCAGCAAAAGGGGCAGATAGAGGGTTGGGGCAAACCAATTAACACTGACAGGGGTACTTACAATTCTCAGCTTTTATTTATTTATATAAAACCTTTGTACCAAAAGGGAAAAAAATTGTTGCTGTTGCTTAACTGCTTAAAAAAAGGTTGACTGGAGTTTGCAGTTGGATTTGTTAGTCAAAACTGTCTAAAGCTGCTAGTCCATCTAACACCACCCTCCTCACAAGGTGAAAATGCTGCTGTCCAAGGGTGGCTTTGTCGTTCCTCCATAAAGTGGAGCCACCCTAAGGGCTTGTTCACACCAAATGCAGACCCGATCTGCATGGGTTTCTGCGCATGCACATGCAGTGCACAAATCCTCTCCTGAGCACAGCAGGATGGAGCGGATGTCACTGCTGTGACATCCGTGTCCATACAGTTTTTTCCTTGCGATGGAGGGAAAAACATGGAAACTGCTGGACCCCATGTGTGTCTATGGGGAATCTGATGTAAACAGACATGTTTACCCCTGATCCGGCATGATCCGGTCCAGCAAAATGGATCACTGTTCCATGTGCTTTTCCGGACCCGGCCAGAAGCGGGGGTAACCAGATGTAAACTGACACCCATCCATTTACACATGGCTGCCCATAGACTTGCATGGGGCATCCAAGCGGGTCTACCTGAAAAACTGACAGGCGGACCCGATCGGAGCGACCGAGTGAAAGGGGCCTTACTCTATCGATGCAAACAGTTTCTCTGGATAGGAAGTGGGGGAAAATATGCACAAACCACACACACAGTGTTTTTAGTAGAATAAGAGAAGGCTAGAACTCCTTTCAGCTTTGTATTGCTATTTCTCTGTTGCATATTTCCTCTCACTTCATGTCTGGTGATAGCATTGTCGCTGTCACTGGAGATGAGGGGTATTCTCTGCCTCACGGCACCCTGAATAGCAGAAATAACCCAAAGCTCCAGCCCTTGTCATCTCTATCAAATCAAATAAAAGGAAAAAAAGGTTTGGCTGGAATTCCATTTTAAACATTCATTTGAAAAATTCTGAAGCAGACGCTGACATCATTGTTCTATGTGTAGAAAAGAATGTCTAAAAGAATTTAGATTGATGCCATTGTTAAGGGATGTACCCTGTCTCTATTATTTGCATGGGGCCCTATTATGAGTCATTGCCGGCAGTCACGAAATGTGTCACTTCACACATTTCTGTGATAGAAATGATTAGTACTCATACGACTGTTTTCCAAAAGATTTCCTTTTTCTCTTTGCTACAGCGTGAGTCATTAAGAGTGTCTTCATCATTCTACTGCTGAACTTATTGTACGACTTTATACTTTTCACAACTTTTTGCAACTGAAAAAAGTCAAATCCACTCCCGGCGCAGGCTGCAGCTACTAATCTTCTCCCATTTCAAAAACGCCAGTCACACAGGGGGCTTCTCCATAGTAAGGACCGGGGAACCTTTAGATCAAATCAGAGAGCAAAGGCACAGAGCGCCCAATCTATGTGAAGGAACGCTTTATTAAGTAAATTACATAAAAAGAACAATAAAATGCTCACAAAGGTATATTAAGTTGAGGAGAAATAACATCCCAAGTTCTGTTCCAGCCAGGGTGCATAGACCCGTTCTGTATACAATACAATCGCCGTCCGTTTAGCAAGCTGGCATGCCGCTGTTCTATCAAAGTTTGTGACGGCGTTAGAATGTGTAACCGGTCACATGGTCACACATTCTAAAGTAATCCTGCCCACTTTTTTGTCGGTAGAATGTGTCACTGGCAAAAGGTGAATAATTCCAACTCTTTCTCAGCGGTTCCAGGGCAGATCGGCATCACAGATGGTATGTGCAGGAGAACCGATCTGCCCTGGAACAGCTGATCGGTCCTGAAATGTCCCTTCTATCTGATTTTGTGGAATGTGAGATCGCACTCACAAAGTCGATAGAAGTGACATTTCAGGACCAATCAGCTGTTTCAGGGCAGATCGGTTCTCCTGCACATACGATCTGCAATGCCGATCTGCCCTGAAACAGCTGAGAAAGCGTTGGAATTCTTCACCTTTTGTCGGTCACATATTCCACCGCCGAAAAAGTGGGCAGGGTTACGTTAAAATGTGTGACCACGTGCCCGATCACACATTCCAACCCAGTCACAATCTTTGATAGAACACAGCCTCACAGCCGACCCTGCGTACTAGCGTTTGACGCGTTTCCGGGGCATGCCCCGTTCCTCAGAATATTTGCAACTGAGTTTCTATTCAGTCAATACATAATTTCAATATATCAAATTAAGTTTGGTTTCTCCATTCAAATATATGAGATATACCCTGGCAGGGCAACAAAAAGTATTGCATAATTATTGTATGCTTTGGAGCTATTCTCTCAGCCCATTAGGATATGTCATATGTGGCAAACTAGCTGTGTCTATGGAATGCAGCTATACCTAGGACTGCAGCTGGCCATGTACAGTATATGGCCAAACGTTTGTGGACACCTGACCATCATACCTATATGAGCTTGTTAGACATCCCATTCCACAACCATTTGTGAGGCCAGTTGCTGATGCTGACGAGAAGATCTGGCTTGCAATCTGGTGTTCATTAGGGTTGAGGTCAGGGCACTTGAGTTCCGCCATATCACACTCATCAACCATGTCTTTATAGAGCTGGCTTTGTGCGCATACTAGAACAGAAAAGGACTTTCCCCAAACTGTTGCCACAAGACTGGACCTACACAATTGTCTTAACAGCGTTACCAGCACCCTTCACTGGAAACATGTAAAGTGAATGTCCACAAACTTTTGGCCTTATAGTGGAAGTGGACCATGCATTAAACAAAAATAATGTCTGGTGTAAAAAGCTTAACCTGGCCTACTCTATGTTGTTGTTTCCATGCAGGGGGGAGTAAGTTCATATTTAAAGGGTAGCCAAAGCCAGAACTTATTTTTAGATTTGGAAGGGGTAGAACCCCTGTGTTTTTTTTTTTATTGCTTGCAAAAAAAGAATGCCAGCACTAGCCAAAAAAGCTCAAGCTTTTAATGAGGTTGAAGTAGAAAAACCATGTAGTGGAAGTAAGCATAATACCAATGTTTTGGGGGCCGCCATGGACCCATTTTGCTAGGTTACAAGCAAACAAGACCAAATACAATACACAAACCTAAATTCGCCCCACTTAATGAGCAAATTCACACCACCTGTGGCACAGACTTACCCATGCATGTACAATACACTGGATCTTCCCTAAGGGCCCATTCACACCAAATCCAGATCATCACCAGACCAGATTGTTTTTGGACCCAAAATGCATCCTAATTTATCCCTATGCTATTTCTGGCCTCTGTTCACACCAGCGCAGTTTGTTCCAGACCAGAAAAATACTGCATGTCTCATTTTGTCTGGCCTGGAATGCACCGTAACTGCAGGCAGGTTCACACCATTTTCCAGACCAGATATGGTCCGGAAAATGGTGTGAACCTGCCCTAAATATGAATGTAAATAAGACCTTCATATAGCCTTGCACTAAGGCAATGGGAATACCTTCTCCATAGCACAATCACTAGTGTCCTAGTGATCACTGTCAAATTTATATTTTTCACCAAAACAGGAACACATGGAAAAAGTGACAACTGTCTAAATGGGAATTTCCACTGGAGAGATTTCCTCTTGTGTGGAAGTACAGGGAAATCCCCCAATGGGACCCCAAAAAAAAAAAGATCCAAAACTCAACAAAATATATATTTGGCCATAAAGTCTGTATCTGATTGGTTGCTGTGAGGAAGTATAGAATGCCTAAGAAAGTTCCTATTCCATTATGAATATTTGAATGTGTCTCTTTACAGCTACAGACAAGGTTGCCTTATTAATCGGGAACATGTCCTACAAAAACCACTCACAACTTAAAGCTCCGATGGTCGATGTGTACGAACTCACAAACTTACTGCGACAACTTGACTTCAAGGTTGTATCTCTTCTTGACCTCACTGAAGTTGAAATGAAGAATACAGTGGATGAATTTATGCTTTTACTGGACAAAGGAGTATATGGTAAGAAGTAATAAATACGGTTGTATAAAATCATAATGGCCTAGCAAAGGGGTTGGCTGTCCTCTCTGTAAATTCCATGGAACGAACGTTCTACATTCTACAGCTGCATTGAAGGCCTGGTTTTGAATGGAATGTGTACAGTTGGTGATGTTAATGGACAGCTCTGACCATCCAACCAGATGTGACATTCAGTATACAGCTCTTATGCTTCAGTCTAGGAAGTGGTTAGAGATAGGATGTCTGTGAAGGTTCTCATTCACTCAGATTTATAAAAAAAAGAATCTGATGAACCACCAGAGAAAACAAGACGCCACACCTCTAAACCTACAAATCCAACAACCATATATACTAAATACGGGGTTTTTAAGGTGTCAGATCAGGGAGGAAAAGATTATGAAAACATTGTATCAAACATCACATATTTAGTGAAAAAAATAATAAACTAAACATCTATGCTAAAACATATAAAAGATCCCCAAATGACTAGGATATACGCCAGCAACAACTCCCTGTATAGGATTGTATGCTTATACCAAGGCATTATACCTCCCTGGACCACATCAACATTAACAAATAGCTCAATAAACTCCTTAAGCTTCAATATCCTCATAACAATTAACTGGATATATTCTATCATCATAATTTGTATCCTTCAACCATTCATAAATGTGTGATGTGTCGGACCTTCTTCTACGCATTGCGCTGAAGCTTCTTCAGGAAGATAGGAGGTGGCCATTTTTTAGGCATCTGATGGTGAAAAGATCCACAAATCAGGGGGATATCCCTCATCACTGAGAAGACATAGGGAGCATATAAGAATGGCAAGGCAGGAGGGACTTGATAACCTTCCATGAATTCCTTAACAGTATTAACCAAGTTGTTAAGATCTCTCAAACACCTCCTCCAGCCACCAGACCATCCGTGTCTCCTCTGTCCCTAACGCATTTTTTTCAATAAATATGTGATGTATTCATGATTCTTTCATCCCTGATCTGACACCTTAAAAGCCCCGTATTTAGTGTAATTTGTTGTCTCGTTCATTCAGGTCATGGTATAGCTAGGAATAGCTTGTCACATTCAACTGGACTTGTACTGTAATGCTGAAGATGTTTTGCAGTCACTTATTCAGTTCTAATGAGTGCCAGGAACATATCCACACAGGTAGCACAGGCACCTTGATCACCATTGAATGTGTCAAAGTAGATGTTGGTTTTCCGAGAACATAATGGGAGGTGTAAAAGTTGTGCAAAACATTCTGTTCTGGTTTCATTTCATGTCAGGTGGTCCGCAAAGGTGTTAATTCTTCCATCTACAAGGCAAAAGGTGTTCTAATAGCCAGGGTAAACAGGGTAAACATGGCAGATGGTGTAAAAATCCCAAACTCTTGTTAGGGATGGTTGTTCCAGTTAGACAGAGATGATCTTCTTCACTTCTCTTGCAAACTAGTTGCCTAAAATGTACACCTCGCTGTCTCTAAAGGAATGTGCCCTTTCCTTAAAGGAGAATTATGAGGCGAGTGATTTTCACTCAGCCTTATAATCTGAGCCGACCTGTGACAATTAAACTGTCACAGGTCGGCTCAGTAGATCGGGAAGTGAGCGAACACATACAGGCGCTCGCTCACTTCTCGAACTATCCATGCAGAGAGCCGTGGCTGTCACTCACGGCTCCCTGCAGGGATTCCCCCCCTCCCTGCTCCGAATCCTTCAGCGCTGACTGGCGAAACGGACGGGGGAGGGGGCGGGCACAGCTGGATCTGCCTCTAGATAGGCAGAGCCAGCTGTCAATCCCGCAGCTGGGTGGATCCAGACAGTATTGTCGGGATCCGTCCCGGCGGTGGCGTCTCAGTATACCGCAAGCTTTAGCTCGCGGTATACTGAGCTTTGGGTCACGGGAGGACGCTAGTTTGTGTTCTCCTGAGGACCCTTAGGAGAACTATGGGGAAACGCCCTGACCCCATAGTTCTCCTTTAGGTGTAGTAAGACTGTTGCATCATGACCTGTATAATGTGCCCTCCTATGTTGTGTCATTCATTTGTTGAGAGGTTGTTTTGTCTCCCCAATTTGCAGTCTTTTCATTTTTCCCTACACTGAACTGTATATACCAGGTTACTTCACTTGGATTTGGGTGGTGGGCCTTTTGGATGTACAATCTTCTGTCTCGGTTTATTGCCGGGTTTGAAAGACACAGGATGCAATGCGTGTGAAAACACAGGCTTTATTTTTTTTTTGTTCTTAAACCAACAAACAACAAACAAACAACAACTGCCTTGACACATTCCATGGTGATTAAGACCCCTGTGTTACCTGTGTGGATAATAATGCTGGGGGCATGTTTCTGGCACTCATTGGAACTGAAGAAGTGTTTTGGATAAGCTGCAAAACATTTTCATTATTACAGAACAAGTCCAGCTGAATGTAACTAACCACTACTGGCTTCTAGATGGGATATTTCTATGCTTCTTCTGCTGGTTCAAAGTTTGGTCCCCACCGAATATCTACATTGTTTTCAGTTTATTCCCCAGATATAAATTGAAGGTGTATGGATATTTACATACTTTGATAAGGCTCACCAACCCAAATGTGTTTGCTGTGTAGAGGATCTGAAATTGGTAGAATGCCCTAGTCCAGTCCTTGGGCTAGGACACTCAGCAGTATCACACGTGAGGGGGAGACTGAGCGAAGACCGAATGGATGAGGGGGCTGCCCTTGCGCCTCTTGTCCAACACTCCTTGGAAGTGGGGACAGGGGGTGTGTGGACACAGAGTAGCACGAGTGCCGATGAAGCAGACTGCACTGCGTGAGTCCAGGAACCCTAGGGATCCAACTGGAACAGGAGACTGAAGCAAGTCAAGGATATAGTCCGAGGTCACAGCCAGCTGGGCAGTGAAGTACACAATCGAGAACCAGGAGAGATGTCGGGGGCACAGGTTGAGAGCAGCAGATCAGCGAGGCACCAGGCAGAAGGCAGAGAGTAATCCAGCAAACAGGCCGAGGTCTCAGTGGCAGGCAGCATGCGAAAGGAGTGGTCAGGAAACAAGCCGAGTCAGGTGCAGGAATCACGCAGACAGATCAGATCACAGGGAGACAGGAACAAGCTGAAGATCTTCCAGCAACCTGTGCACATTACAAGCTTGTTTACATAGGCCAGCCCATTAGTGCATGTCCTATGCAACTTCCTGTGCGCCACCCTGTTGGTCCGTGCACGTCTTCTTTCATGCGTTTGTGTTTCCACGCATGTTCCGTATTGCACACTTCCGTGTGTGCCTGCGCACTATTGCATGTTTGGCAGTACGTACTGGGCTTTTCTTCCAGTGAGAATCATCCTGAGCAGAGAGACTTCACTATTTTAGACAATCAAGACTTGCAGTCAGTGACAGGTGCTGGGCATGATATAGCTACCTGCAATCATAACAGACCCAGATGGTCTTCCAGCACCAACCTTATCAATCCCTCTGAGAAGGAAGCAGATGTTGGAGGGTGGGAAAAGGTGTCCCCTAATAAACCATGTTCTTTAAGAACACCAGCCTTTTACCATGCTACCTAATCAGTGAGGTACCATGGTACGCTTTGCATAGAAATCTCTTCCTACCACTAAAGGGCTAGTTGGTTGTGTTTGTCCCCCAGGGCCAAAGGTCCTTTCCTGGACAGTATCCCAAATTTCTCTCAGTACACCAACACAGGTCCAAGAGCACCTAATGGTAAATACAGTCATATGCCTATGTATGAATCTAACTTACATGTATATTACTGTATTCTCGACTTTGAGCACCGCCGCGGTAATTTTAGGTTATCGTGTTTGGTTCTGAAATTGTATCCACCCATACTTCCTGTGGTTTTGTTTTGCAAGATATTACAGACTGATAAGACCTCTGCTTCCCTCTTTTACAAAGAGTTCTGCTGTCTGTTTTTAGTTTGCTTTGACACTCTGGCACCCGCTTTGTAATAGCTTTGTTTACCAACTATGCAAATCCTCGGGAGTGAATGCGTTCGCCTCTCGTGTAGAACTGTACATGACTTGTCTTCAGTTCTAAAAGGTTGCCCACTCTGGGACTAGACCGTAGGTGGAATTTGACTTGAGAAAGTGGACTAGTTCCCCAAAACACTGGCTATTTATTGCACCTCCACCTGTCACCCGGCGCCCAGCTTCTTTATACTTTGTGTATGGTGACTCATAACTCTTTTGAATCGGGATCCCACAATATTTTCTATATATATACAGTGTATATCTATATAGATATCTATATAGATCTATATATCTATATTATGTTGACTATATTGCATACTAAGTAGGGCTGCAACAACTAATCGACATAATCGATTATAATCGATTATTGAAAAAGTTGTCAACTTTTTCAATAATCGATTAATCGGCTTCCGATCAGTTGGCCCTGTTCACAGCTCCACACACGCTGCGCACCGCACCTCCTCCCCAATATTGTTTATCCGATTAACCGATTAATCGCAATTAATAATCGGCTAACTAATCGATTTTGAAAATAATCGTTAGCTGCAGCTCTAATACTAAGTGAAAACTGTCTCATGTATAGTAAGTATATCACTCAGTATTGTGTGTGATTTCCTATCCAATGTGTATACTTAGGTATTATCTATGCTGAGGAATATAAACATTCAAAACATTTTTCTTGGTGTGCTATCTTATTTGATTGACTTTTATTTAATTGGAGAATTCTTTTTGAGGTCTCTGGTGTAGCTACAGCTCCCACTTACCGCTTGCTGTGAAGGTATAACTAATAGGGTCATGCATTGTCCAGTATTTTTAACGTACTAGACCGTAGGCTAACCAAGAGCTAAGCTTTGCAGAAACTAGTGATATCTCAATGGCATGATGTGGGTGCATAGTAAAGCCCAGTCAAATCCTTATCCCAGTCTAAGCCCTGATGAAGGAGGAGCCATTGGCTGTTTTTTGTTTGCTTGAATTGTGAACATTTCAAGCAGAATTAAGAGGCGAGTGATTTTCACTCAGCCTCATAATCTGAGCCGACCTGTGACAATGAGACTGTCACAGGTCGGCTCAGTAGATCGGGAAGTGAGCGAACACATACCGTCGCTCACTCACTTCTCGATCTATCCCTGCAGAGAGCCGTGACTGTCACTCACGGCTCCCTGCAGGGATTACCCCCCTCCCCTCCCCGATCCTCCAGCACTGACTGGCGGAACAGATGGGGGAGGGGGCGGGTACAGCTGGCTCTGCCTCTACATAGGCAGAGTCAGATGTCACTCACGCAGCTGGGTGGATCCAGACAGCATTGTCGGGATCCATTCCGGCTGCGGCGTCTCAGTATACCGTAAGCAGTAGCTCGCGGTATACTGAGCTTTGGGTGACGGGAGGACGCTAGTTTGTGTCCTCCCGTTACCCTAAGGAGAACTATGGGGAAAAGCCCTAACCCCATAGTTCTCCTTTTAAAAGCACTTTTGAACTCTTTAACCTTTTGACTTTGCATCCTTTATTTCTGAACATCCTGTCACCATAGGGGCTCTATCTATAAAGAGCAGCCCTGTAAAAAGCATCACCTAGACCAGGGGTGCCCATTAGGTAGATCGTGATCTACCAGTAGCTCTCAAGCTGATGCTGGTAGATCACGAAGGGTGTGAATGGCGGCCCCTTTATTCCATTTTGGTATATTTATTTAGCTGTGCACACATGATTTCCTATTAGCCTGAGTCTGCTGAGCCAAGCTCCCTGACACCTTTCTGGAGTAGTCCATCACTGGAGCCATTTTTTAAAATGTATTTTATTGTTTATCCGATTAACCGATTAATCGCAATTAATAATCGGCTAACTAATCGATTTTGAAAATAATCGTTAGCTGCAGCTCTAATACTAAGTGAAAACTGTCTCATGTATAGTAAGTATATCACTCAGTATTGTGTGTGATTTCCTATCCAATGTGTATACTTAGGTATTATCTATGCTGAGGAATATAAACATTCAAAACATTTTTCTTGGTGTGCTATCTTATTTGATTGACTTTTATTTAATTGGAGAATTCTTTTTGAGGTCTCTGGTGTAGCTACAGCTCCCACTTACCGCTTGCTGTGAAGGTATAACTAATAGGGTCATGCATTGTCCAGTATTTTTAACGTACTAGACCGTAGGCTAACCAAGAGCTAAGCTTTGCAGAAACTAGTGATATCTCAATGGCATGATGTGGGTGCATAGTAAAGCCCAGTCAAATCCTTATCCCAGTCTAAGCCCTGATGAAGGAGGAGCCATTGGCTGTTTTTTGTTTGCTTGAATTGTGAACATTTCAAGCAGAATTAAGAGGCGAGTGATTTTCACTCAGCCTCATAATCTGAGCCGACCTGTGACAATGAGACTGTCACAGGTCGGCTCAGTAGATCGGGAAGTGAGCGAACACATACCGTCGCTCACTCACTTCTCGATCTATCCCTGCAGAGAGCCGTGACTGTCACTCACGGCTCCCTGCAGGGATTACCCCCCTCCCCTCCCCGATCCTCCAGCACTGACTGGCGGAACAGATGGGGGAGGGGGCGGGTACAGCTGGCTCTGCCTCTACATAGGCAGAGTCAGATGTCACTCACGCAGCTGGGTGGATCCAGACAGCATTGTCGGGATCCATTCCGGCTGCGGCGTCTCAGTATACCGTAAGCAGTAGCTCGCGGTATACTGAGCTTTGGGTGACGGGAGGACGCTAGTTTGTGTCCTCCCGTTACCCTAAGGAGAACTATGGGGAAAAGCCCTAACCCCATAGTTCTCCTTTTAAAAGCACTTTTGAACTCTTTAACCTTTTGACTTTGCATCCTTTATTTCTGAACATCCTGTCACCATAGGGGCTCTATCTATAAAGAGCAGCCCTGTAAAAAGCATCACCTAGACCAGGGGTGCCCATTAGGTAGATCGTGATCTACCAGTAGCTCTCAAGCTGATGCTGGTAGATCACGAAGGGTGTGAATGGCGGCCCCTTTATTCCATTTTGGTATATTTATTTAGCTGTGCACACATGATTTCCTATTAGCCTGAGTCTGCTGAGCCAAGCTCCCTGACACCTTTCTGGTGGATACTGGTGGTTGAAGTGCTATGTATTACATCAAAGAATATTAGTTTACACAGCCTGCTGCACTGCACTGTTTGCAAAATACAGCAAGGTGAGCCAGGAGAGACAGACAGGAGAGAGAGCAAGGAGAGACAGCCAGGAGAGAGAGCAAGGAGAGACAGCCAAAAGAACGAAGAGAGACAGCCAAGAGAGAAAACTAGGAATGACAGCCAGGAGAGGGAGCGAGGAGAGACAGCCAGGAGGATGAGCAAGGGGAGAGAGGAGAGACAGCCAGGGGGATGAGCAAGGAGAGACAGACAGGAGAGAGGAGAGACAGCCAGGGGGATGAGCAAGGAGAGACAGCCAGGAGAGAGAGCAAGGAGAGACAGCCAGGAGAGAGAGAGCAAGGAGAGACAGCCAGGAGAAAGAGAGCGAGGGAGGTTTTTTTTTTGTTGGTAGATCTCATGTAGCTCGTCATTTGAAAAGTATATCTTAAACACAAAAATTGTGGGCACCCCTGTCCTAGACAGTAGTTACCTTTTTGGCAGCCTGTGTCTTGAAATGCTATTGCTTCACTGCTTTGTGGCCGAGTCAAAACACCTTTTCCCTATACTGCACATGGTGCTTCCTCTCACCGGCTTATTAGTGCTTGGCCAAGGAGCAGAGGTAGGGTGCCATTTTATAACACGGGCTGAGTATAGATGATCTTCGTTACAGGGATGCCTTTTTTTTATTGATGTTTCAATATTTATTTTTTTTACAGATATTTAAAAAGATGAAAAATCGGTTTATGAAAAAAATTAAGTTGATTAAAAACCAGACCATTTCCGGTCTGAAATCAACTCTGCACATAAAGAAATGATAACAAGTCTGTTGGACCAATTGGTAGCAGTTCACCAATGCACCGAAAGCATTGAATACAGGGCTGGGCCTATAATTAGGCAGTCTGTGGCTGTTGCCTCAGGAGGCATCTCTTTGGGTCATGTGGGGGGTGTTCCAGGCCTGCCGTCCGCTTTTCGGACATAGTGCCCTCGGTTGCTAAGACCCGCATGGGGAGATGTGTAAGGGCCATTCACATCTCCCCTCTCAGCTCTTAGCAACCTGGGATGCTCTGGCCGGTGTCCTGCCCATTTCTTAGCAACCGTGATGTCACTGGTTGCCAGCAGCTGAGTGTGACACCCTGGCCAGTTTTCCACCCACCACCTGGCAACCAGTGTCAGTGAGCTGCCCAACTCGTAGCAAGCAGTGATGTCACTGGTTGCCAGCAGCTGAGTGTGACCCTCTGGCCAGTGTTCCACCCAGCTCCTGGAAACCAGAGACGTCAGTGAGCTGGGTGGGATGCCAGCCCAAGCTGGGTGGTGCACCACCAGGACACCGACCAGAGTGCCATTAGCGTGCACCACCAGCACCCCATCAACCTCTCCCCTGCCTCAGGCAGTGATTATACTATGGACACCCCTGATTGAATATTCTCCAGCTGATCACATAAAGGGCTTCGTTTCACCACATTTGGGGCAGATTTTCCATCACTCGCTTGTGTCTAATCATATGTCTGTAATAATGATGCCCATTGTCTCCCAGGATTGTTGTACTACGCGGGCCACGGTTATGAAAATTTTGGAAACAGTTTCATGGTACCCATCGATGCTCCAAAACCGTACAAGTCCTCCAACTGTTTGTGTGTGCAAAGCATACTAAAGCGGATGCAAGAAAAAGAGACCGGGCTCAATGTATTTCTACTCGATATGTGCCGGAAGAGGTAAGGTCTACTCCAGGACATAAGATCATTAGAAAGCCCAATGTCTAAAAAAAAAAGTGAATATCCATACTTAATTATGTAAAATTTGCAGAAGTTCTTAATAGTTTAAGCTGCCAACATTGCTTTTGCTGTACTGAGCAGTATTATCAGACCTGCCCAATTATCCCCTGCTGAACTACAGAACACTTTCCTGTAATGTTATGGAGATAAGGAAAGTGTTTTATAGTCCAAAAGGGAGGAGTTGATAACACTGCTTGGGATTTCAATGCAGCAGAACAGGACACAGTGGTGAGGTGGGTGGAGGTTGGTGGTGGGAACCACTGAGCACTGCAGGGGACCACAGGAGCTCAACACCTCCCAAAGTGTTGGTTTCCCAGTAGAGTTTGGTGGAGGATTTCACCTGAACAGAGCAGCATTCTGGTAGTATAGTAAATTTTAAAAAAACGATTTTTCCCCGAAAAAGGGGATCCCACCACTGTTTCAACATTTTTTTGACCATACACTTTATATTTGTCGTAGAAAATTATTTATTAAATATATATTAAAATTGCACATATAAAAAAAATCCATATCAAAGAACATCAACAAACAAATAAGTGGCTGCATACGGCTAATAAATAAGAAAAAATGCGTGTGGATAAACATTGGTTAGAGGGCACACCCTGAAAAACTCCACTTTATGAAGATATAAGAATTGGATTCCCAAAGATTGGAAAGGAGATATCAGATCTCGTCAAACACGTGTATGGAAAAATGCAAAAAGAAACAGTCAACATGAAAAAATATATATCATACGTGTAGAAAAAATTGATGGATTTCACTCACAGTACTGTGTATGTTCGCCCATAGAACAAAGTAGGAGGATCGGAGTGGTTTTACCATGGATATAAATTAATTTCGGCTTGATATGCAGATAGTTCAGGAGATCTCTAGCCTCATCTCGGCTTTTACTCCCAGCCGCAGATATATGCCTTTGCTGAACACATGCTTATCTGTAGTGGTGGTTTTCTCCAAAGTGGAAAGAAGATATTGGCGGGTCAGTTGCTCCAATGGAGATTGAAATCCTGCTGAAGAAAGCTGTTTTTCTCCTGAAATGGAGCAAATTAAATGGAGCAAATTAATAGGGGACCCTCCATTATAAATAAATCAAAGCTTTATTGATAATTGATATATATTTCAAACCTTCCCACCCCGCAGTATATATTACTAGTATAGTAAATTCTGACACTTTTTTTCCAGGTACGCCTGTATGGGGATGCTTTTAGTTAAAGCACCATCTGTGTCTTAGTAGGGATATTTCCCTTCACTTCCTGTGCCATGGACTCAACAGAAAGTGAGAGGATCTCTTTCCAAATTGAGGAAAACCCCCTATTAGACAGTTGTCACAGAAACAAGTGTCCCCATTGGAATATTTCCTCTGTATTCCTGCTGTGGTGGCAACTCAGAATTTTGGATTTCCCATCACTTTCACTGGTGATCAGGACAATTAGAGGGGGTGAATCTCCTTAACAGGGACACAGACAACAACAACAACAAAAAAGACCTGACAGGGGTTCTAACCCCTCTTCCCCGTTCCAAATCTAAAATGAAAAGCTTTGCCTTTAGATGTAATTTAAAACCCATCTCCAGGCCAACTAAGAAACTGGGTTTCCCCTGCACTGCAAGAGTTAAGTGCTCCTTTATGTCTAGGGGACAGGAAAAGCTATTTTACTCACCTGATCGCCACTCCCGCCGCCTCTCTCTGGACTGTTAGACTGGTTCCCGATGCCTCTTCCACCCTTTCTCTACGGTGGTCTATAGACTGCTGACATCTGCACACCTAGAGTAGCTTCCATAGACCTGCATTAGACGTGAGGTAATCCTTCGGCAAGGGTAGGTTTCTGGTTAGCCCAGAGATGGGCATTAATGATAGTGTCGCTTTAAAACTGAACTCTAGGCAGGTATTAAGAAGCACCAATGAATGCAATTATGTATTGGGATTGGGAGGGACAGTACATGTGATAAATCAGTAGGGATGCACCGATACAGTTTTTTGGTATCGAGTACGAGTATCGATATTTTGCTTTCGGTACTCGCCAATACCGAGTACCAATACCGGTGCTTCTGCTGGCATGGAGTTGGCTTCCTGGGCAATCAGGAAGCCGGGCAGCGGGTAATAACATGCTGCCCAGCTTCCTGATTGCCAGGGAAGCCATCTCCATGTTGTTTGGCTGGCTCGATTGTGATTGGCCGGGAGACCGGTTTTCCAGCCAATCAGCATCGAGCCGGCTTCCCGGCCAATCGGGAAGCCGGATGGTGTGTAATGACTCGCCTCCCGGCTTCCTGATTGGCTGGAAAGCCGGCTTCCCAGCTAATCCGCATTGAGCCGGCTGTTCGGCCAGCTCGATGCTGATTGGCCGAGAAGCCGGCTTCCCAAACAATGAGCAAGGAGGCGGCTGTTCGGCCAGCTCGATGCCGATTGGCCAGGAAGCCGGCTTGCCAGCCAATCAGCAAGGAGTCGGCTGTTCGGCCAATTAGGAAGCTGGAAGGTGAGTCATTACTCGCCACCCAGCTTCCTGATTACCCGGGAAGCCTGCTCCATGTTCCCCTACGGCCCTGCTAGATCACAGGAAATCTTCCTTTGACCAGAAGTTCCGGTATAGGGAAGGTATGAGAGCATTTGGGCGAATACGAGTACTCACCCAAATACTCGGTATCGGAACCGATCATCCCTACAAATCAGGTGTGCTGCATTCACAGTGGACAAGGAACATGCAGACAGGAGGAGAGAACAGACAGATAACCTTATCAATGTCTTACTTCCTCTTAGCTGTCCAATCACAAACTAGAGGTGGGGAAGCGACTAGGCTGCGTTGCTTAACTGCAGCAGAGAAAAGTCAGGCCACCAGGCTAGCTGTGCTATCCGGCACAACTGTATAAATTTCAGGACTGGAAGGACAGAAACACAAATCCTTTGGCAGGTGAAACAGCTCTTTCATGTGTTGGTGGCCATGCTGAGTCTCTGGCTTCAGTACTTTCTAACCTGTAACATATATGCAGATCGGAAAAGTCAAAGACCAGTGAGAAGTTTTTATCTGTCTGCATGTTCCAGGTCAGTCAGTCAAGGTATTGAAGCAAGAGGTCCAGCATGACAGCCCAGCAACTAGCATTTTCAGAAAGGCAGCCTCCCATGCTCTTCTTATTACAAAGCTCATATAATGGACATATACAGAAGTGTAGTTTTGTGTTTTTTAGTTTCAAAGTGTACATGTCTGTCTCATCACAAATGACATGTCTTCTTACAGGAACCAGTATGACAACACCATCCTAATTCCTGAGAATCTGAAGGTGACGGCAAACATTGTCTTTGGATATGCCACGTAAGTTCTGCTCTGACCCTCAGACCTTGCTTGACACTCGTATGATATTATCATTAGGGGGGTGGCTTGTGAATACGATCAACAGGTCTAGATTTCTTTTTTGTATGGCCCCCTGG